TTGAGAATTCTTATTAAATAACGTATACATAGTTTAAATTGATTCCGCTAGATGTTTAAGAGTTACTGAAACACCTGATTAAAGTCAGCAAAGGCGTCTTGAATAGGCAGAGCGTCAATCTACTTTAAGAGCTACTGAAATACCTGCTCAAAGTCAGCAAAGGCTATTCGAACAAGTGGAACGTCAGGCCGCCTTAATAGCCGCGAAAACACCTGATGAAACTCAACACAGACTCATTGAGCAAGCTGAACGTCAATCTACTACTATAGGGCATCTGAAACACCAGAACAGACAGGCGCGAAGAGATGCAAATGCACAGCTCCAAGCTGAACGTCGACAAATTTTTCAAAGAAACAATTGGTCGGTTTTTAATGACGCAGCATTCAATTGTGATCCGTTGATTGATTATAAAAATCACAGGTTAGCTGTTATCGGACTGATGGACAAGGCGTGTCGATTTTACACCGCTTTAAAATGGAAAAATGAGACCGCAGGCATATGCTGTTCCAATGGCAAAGTGTCTCTTCCGTTACTTTGGGAACCAGAAGAACCATTGAAAACTCTCTTTTTATATAATGCTTATGAGTCACGGCGCTTTTTAAACAGGATCCGGAAATATAACTCATGCTTTTAAATGACGTCCTTCGGAGTTGACCAGGAAATAATAATGCCGGGATTTTCGCCTAAATTTACGGTGCAAGGGCAAATTTATCATAGAATAGGTTAACTTTTTCCAGCTGAAAACGAACAGCATAAATTTTTACAAGTATATTTTATGGGTGACAAAGAAATTGAGGTAGACCGTCGCTGCCAATTCATCCAGGGAGTTGAGAGAGACACAGTGTTCAAAATTCAAAGATTCTTGCATGAACGTAACATTTTAGTCAAAACATTTAAAACTGCTTTAGAAAACCTACCTGAAGAGGATTATAAAGTCGTCATTTACGCAGATCGGACCCCTCGAGGAGAGCATGAAAGGCACTACAACGCAACTTTGATAAACGAAATAGCAGCCGTAATTAGTGGTGATCAATTTTCTTCACGAGACATTGTCTTGCGAACACGTGATGATAGTTGCAACGGGTAGCCGTTACACACGGAAAATTGATTTATTGCAACGGACAAGTGGGTTATCATTTTCAAATTCCACTCATTAACACGGTCACAAAGGAGCCTACTCCGAACAAAAAAGTATCATGTATAGATTTTTATGCGTATCATATGATGTTGCGAGAAAGTGATTTTAACCTCTAATTTTTGATAGACATGTTTGTCAATATAGAAAGTGAACGTCTCCGTTATATATTTTTAAATCAAAAAAAAGCTGCGCGTTGAGAATTGTATACACTTACAAGATGAAGTTTCTAACGACGCCAATAAAAACCCCAGAGATTTAGGTAAAATGGTAATTCTGCCCTCATCATTCGTTAACTTCGTTAACAGTCCCCGCTACCTACATGAGTACACACAAGACGCATTCGCCTATGTACGAACTTACGGAAGACCTGATCTTTTTTATTACTTTTACTTGCAATCCCACATGGAAAGAAATAACCAAGGAGCTAATTCCGGGCCAAAAAAGTACTGACAGACACGATTTAGTTGCTAGAGTATTTAGATTAAAAGTACAAAAATTAATGTATGTAATTAACAAAGGTAAAATTTTCGGAAAGGTGCAGGTGCTTCATATTATTCAATTGATTGGCAAAAAAAGAGGATTACCGCATGCCCACATTCTAATATGGCTTAAAGAGAAGTTGCTAAACAGCCTAATAGACGACATAATAAGCGCCGAGATTCCGAATCCTGAGCAAGAAAAAGAATTGTATGATACCATCGACCAAAATATGATTCACGGTCCATGTGGAGCACGAAATTCAATATCGCCATGTATGAAAGAAGGAAAATGTACAAAGAAATTCCCTAAACAGCCATTAAATAAATACACAATGACAATGGCTACCCTTTATACAGACGCAGAGCTCCCGAAGATGGTGGTAGGAAAATTACAATCAAATCTCGCACTGGAGCGTTCGAAACCTTAGATAACAGCTGGATTGTCCCGTATTCGCCCATTCTATGTAAAATGTTTAATGCCCACGTTAATGTAGAAGCATATAGCTCTGTCCGCGCAATCAAGTATATCTGTAAGTACATAAATAAAGGAAGCGACCAAGCAATATTTAATCTCAGGAGTGAAGGTGAGGCAAATCCTGTTAATGAAGTCCAGACCTTTGAAGCAGGGCGTTATGTCAGCAGTAACGAGGCAGCATGGCATCTCCTTGGCTTCCATTTACACGAAAGGCACCCAACAGTTACTCACCTTGCTGTGCACTTAGAAATTGGAGAGCGTGTATATTTCACCGAAAGAAATTTCCAAGAAAGAATTGCATCACCGCCAAAAACTACACTAACAGCCTTCTTTCAACTTTGTGAAACCGACCCCTTTGCAAAAACGTTGTTATATTCCGAAGTCCCCCGCTATTATACTTGGAACACATCCAGGAAGGAGTAAGAGAGAAATTGGCCCGGTGTAAAGTCATCAGATGCTCTTTGTCGTGTGTATACCGTCCATGTAACTAATTTTGAATGTTTCTGTTTACGATTGCTGTTGCATCATGTTCGGGATCCTACAGGATATAAAGACCTTAAAACTGTCAACGGTCAGGAATGCGCAACTTATAGAGAAGCATGTGAAGCTCTGCATCTTTTAGAAAACGATAATCACTGGGATCAAAACCATGGAGGAAGCTGTGCAGTGCCAGTCACCAGCCAAAATTAGGGATCTTTATGCAACTCTCATATCATCTTGCGGGCTATCTAATGCACATGAATTTTGGGACAAACGTAAAGAGTACATGGCGGAAGATATTTTGCGAAGGTTACAGCAGACACACGCTTACATGACACACAATGAACATATTTATAATGAAGCACTTGGAAAAATTGAAGATAAAGTAATGGCAATGGTAGGCAAAAAATTAAGCGGCTTTGGAATGATGAGCCCTCAGCGAACAACCGAAAATGAACTAAGTGATGAAATTATACGTGGAAAAAACTACGATATACCAGCTTTGCAGCAGCAAGTAGCCGAATTTGTATCCCGCTTGCTTCCCGAACAAAAACGGTTTTTGACAAAGTATTAAGACAAATTGAATCTGGAAATGGTGCACTTCTCTTTTTAGATCTCCCTGGAGGAACTGGGAAAATATTTTTATTAAATTTAAATATTAGCGCAAGTACGGAAAGATGAAAACATTGCTGTGTCCGTAGCTTCCTCCGGTATAGACGCCACGCTGCTAAGCGGGGGCCGAACTGCACATTCTGTTTTAAAACTCCCTCTAAATCTAGCCCAGGAGGAATCGCCGATCTGAAACTAAAGCGAAAATAGTGCACGAGGTATAATGCTACGACAATGCAAACTTTTAGTGTAAGACGAAAGTACAATGTCGCATAAAAAAGCTGTATAATCAC